TGTTGTCATGGTTCTAATAAAAGAGAACTGAGGGAAGATTCAAGGGAGAAATTTTCCTGGATCTAGCTTCCCCTGGGGAGGAGGGGGCCTGGCCTGTGGGTCATTATGTGGGATCCCAGGAAAACAATGTGACAGGAGGAAGAACTGGGACAGAAATGAACACTCAATAAAGTCATGTTCCCTAATCTAGGGCCACCAGGGAATAGCTGTTCATAGACAGTTATCTGCAGCAGTGGCAATTTTGGAAGCAGGAAGAGACTCAAGCATGGGTCACAGGCATCCAGGTGGAGGCTCCTCTCATCGAGGACCCCTGGTGGGGAGAAGCTTCAGGAGCGTCCACAGCTGGGCTCTCTGATGGCACACAGGTCTCTGAACTTCTCCTCCTTGGCCCTGCTGAGACTGGCTTCCTGGCCACTCTCCGCCTCCATCGAGCCCACCCACAGGGCCCCCCGCTGAGCTCTGCCAGCCACTCAAGGGAGAACAATTTCCAGCTTATGCAACTGCTTCAAGAGAACAGGAATGCAGGGGCCCTGCCTACCACTTTTCACGGGGCCAGCATAACCTTGACACCAAAGCTTGACAAGGACGCAAGAAAAGGAAATCATCAGGGAAGTTCACCCATGAACTGCTATTAAAATCCTAAACAAAGAGCCTAGAAGATACAATCCCACCATACAGATGCCACAGGATGACACAAGCTGGGTCTATTCCAGAAATGCAAAAATCAGGGTCATGCATCAGGTTAACAGATTGAAAAAAGTCACATGACCATCTGAGCAGATGCCGAAAAGTCATCTGTTAAAACCCTGCTACCATTTATGACTAAACAGAAAAATACTCAGCCAACTAAGAACAGAAAGAACTTCCTTATCTGACAGGAGCAAAAGAATTAGAATGGAAGAAACAAACGGTTATTTGCACTTCTTACAACTGTGTACGTAGTCCTGCCATAAAAATCAACAAATACATTTTTAAAGAGATTTTGGGCAAAATTTCTAAAAATAAAAATCAATATGCAAAATGGAAACATTTCTCCAAGAAGTAACCATCAGAACAATTTCAAGCTGGGAATGGTGGCACACATCTGTAATCCTAGCACTTGGGAGGATGAAGTAGGAGGATCAAGGCCAGCCTGGGCTACACAGTGAGTTCAAAGCCAGCCTGAACTACATAGCAAGCCCCTGCCTCAAAAAATTCAATTTAAATATACGTGTATAAATACACATATGCACACACATGTCCAACAGCATACAAATTATCCAATAACTAGGAATATATCTAACAAAGGATACTGTTACAATCATAAAAACACCCTAAATCATGAAAAGAGATACTATGTTCGTGGAAGTCTAAATTTTACATCTCCCATCCTGTAGAGGGCGACAGAGAGCTCATGGTAACAACCGGGACTTGGAAATCACAGCAACCTGTCTTCACTAACCACCTTCTGCTGCTTCTGAACTCTGTAGTTCTGGGTATCCTACCAACTTGTCTGAGCCTCAGTTTCCTCACCTGTGAAACAAAAATAGTGATTCCTGCCTACTTTGGGAGAATGAATGGATATGGAAACACTCTGTAGGGTGCTTATAACTGGTGCTGCTATCCTCCTTGGGTCTGGTGGTAGGAAAAAAGTTGTGTCTCCTAGATTAGGCCAGCTGTGTCCTTGTTGCTCCCCACCTATTTGTCCTTGAGGACAGTGCTTATCCTGGGTAGAACCTGCCACCATTCAGCTCACAGGGATCCACAAGGTGAGTACTGTGTTGCCCCACTTAACAGATGGGAAAGCTGCAGTTCAGTTAAGCAACTTAGCTTTCAGACAGTCCCTCATGCACAGATCCCTGTGGGTCCCCCATCCCCAGGTGGCGGAGGCTGTGAATAAGGCATCTGCAGTCCTTGCTCTCGTAGAGCTGATATTCTAGTTGGGAAGACAGCCAAAAATCATGTTTCCAGTAACAAGCTGGCAGAACCAAGATTCAAACTCAGGTGTGCTGGAAACCAGAGTCTATACTTTCAACTCACCCCTGGAGAAGCCTTCCGCATCCCCTTCTGTGCCAGCATCTGTTGGAAAGCAGTTGTTTCTAACACATGTTCTGTGAGCAGCAACAAGTTTGAAGGGACCCTGCAGGGCACACTGCTGCACAGAGCCAGCTTCCATCCTGGCCCTGTGACATCTGCAGGACTGAGGGAGGACTGAGGGGCAGGCGGGGGGCGGGGTGACAAGGGGGTGCGTGAAGCATCCTGCCCCTCCCCCCCACATCAGTGGCATTGTTCCCGAAGAGTGCGCCCCAGTCCTCTGCCACCATTAATGGCAGAAGTGAGTCACTTATAAATAAGATACGGGAGCTTTATTCTAATTACATCCTGAGATTCAGAAATGCTCCTGGGCTTTTGTGAGAGGAAGGGCAGTAGGTGACCAGGACTTGAATGATCCTCTGCCAGGTATGGCTTTCAGATAAAACATCTTGGATCAGGAGCAATTACAGCTCATGCCTGACCTGAATGCTAATGAGAATCACTTACAATCGCATGCAATTTTTTGGCATTTATGTGATCTGCCCCCTCCTTATCTCTGCTTGTCCATCTCGCCTTAATCCTGAGAAGCAGACATGGCTATTATTAATGGCCATTTTGCAGATGAGCAAATGGAAACCAGTGGTCACTCCATTCTTTCTTTCAAGTGGAGGAAAAAAAAAAAAAGATTCAGAACTCAGGACAAGTCTTCCTCAGCTAAAAAGTGAACAAATCTCTCCCGCCAGTGGCAAAACCAAGCAGCAACTGGGCTGGTGAGTCCTGCTCGGACAGCTGTGGGGACATCTTGCAAAATGCATTTCAGACCCGTCACCTTCGAGTCCACAGCCATTAAGACACCCTCGCTGGTCCCTGGGGGACCCAAGAAGGGACCATCCAGCTCAAATCCAGTCTGGGAGCCAGCAAGCCTTTCTTCCACCATGCACCCCAGAGTTTCACAGAAGCCCTGGCCTCCTTGACTGGTTCCGACATTCAGAAAACAGCTCTTTGAAAACTGTCCCAAATCCAGTCCCCTCCAAACCATGCCAGAGCTGGAAATCTTCGAGATAGCATGAAGGAAGCCAGTGACGAGCGGGCACTGACCAGCCCTCTGCTCTTGCGCTGTTTAAAGTCTATGACCTCCCTAGGCCTCTGGGACACATAACAGCTAACTAGATCTGCTCCACTTTGCAGGTTGGGAGGGACACCATATCAGCGCCTTGCACACCAAGCATGCTTACATCCCTGGCCAGGCCACTGAGCAAGGTGCTGTGAATGCCCCATCCCACGCAGGGAAACAGGAATAGGGGTACAGCGACTTGCCCAAAGCCACAGAGTTCAGGTGACAGCATCAGGATTTGAACCCAGGCTGTCCATTCCAGAGCCCATCTATGCTTTCCAAAAGCCATGTCAGGTCTGCCTGGTGCTCCTTCCTCGTGGAGAGAAAGAACACAATGAACTCCAAGTGCCTGGTCCTTTGGAGAACACTCCCAGGCTAGGGTCACTCAGATTTCTCTGAGGTGTGGAGCTCCTTGGTCGGCAGCACCAGTCTTCACCAGCTCTGAAATCCCGGGCTGGGAGCATCTCACCTTCAGGATTCTGCCACACCTGAAATGGTACCAGGTGTCCCCTGCTGCCCCCTCACCCCTGGTGTGTGAGGGTCCCTCACAGTAGGACACCTGTGCGGGTTGTCAGGGGCTCTCTGGGCGTGGACCCCTCAGCAGAAGACCCCTGAGATCCATCTCCTGGAGACCTGCTGTCTGCCACTCCTCCATGCAGCCAGCCACAGCGCAGAGGGATCTAAATTAAGGTCTTCTCTGCTGCCCAGGCGTCACCGCTAACCCGAGATTAAGGCAAGACTGGTTTTCAAATTCCGGCTCTGCCAAGCTGGACCGGCTGGGTGACCCCAGGGATTCCTTGCCTCCAGAGCCTCGGTCACCGCCTGCTCTAGGGCGGAGTAAGGGCTCACACCTTCTTGGGCCACCGCTCTGGGACGTGGGACAGTGCACAGGGCTCTCTCCCTCCTCCCTCCCTCCCTCAGCCTTCAGGAAAACAGCCGGGGGGAGGGGGCCCTGCCCTCTGACCCCCCACCAGGCCCCGCACCCACTTCTCCGGCCCCACAGCCTCCCGCCTGGCACCGGCTCCCGAAGCCTCTTTCGGCGGCGGCGACGCGGGGACCGCGTGGCACCGGACTCTGCCGGCTCCTGGCCGCCCGGTGGGCGGTGGGGGCCCCTGCCTGGGGACGGCGACCCTCCCTGGGCGCCCTCTCCGCCCGCTCCAGGCTGACTGACCCCGGGACAGGCGAGGGGGTCGGGGACGCCGCTGGGGGCCCGGGGGCGGGGTCAGCCCAGGGGGAAGGCGGTGTCCAGGCCGTGTCCCCGCCCCTGTCGAGCTGCTCGCCGGGTCCTCTCGGGCGGGGGTGGGGTCCGGTGCTCTCACCCCGGGTCCCGGGCCCTGCGGCTCCCCGCTTGAGGACACCCAGCGCGCTCCGAACCCGGCTCCTGCCCCGCCCGCGCTCCCGGCGCCCGAGCCTCAGTTTCTTGCCGTGGACGCGGGCGCGGGAACCCCGGAGGGAGTCGGTGGGCAGAGGATCCTGACCCCGAGCCACAGGTGTTCCCGACCCAGCCCGCTGCCGCGTCGCCGGCCTCCGGCAGCACGCCCCTCGTGTCGCAGACGCGGGGTCCCCTGAGCCCCGCGGAGATGCGCGATCCCACGGCCCTGCCCGCCCGAAACCCGGGTCCGCGCCGGACTCACCTGCGCTGGCTCCGGGGAAAGTTTGGTGCGCGGTGCTCGGTGCTCGGTGCGTGGTGCTCTGGGCGCTGTGCTGGG